AATGTACCATCAGACAGAACTGTAAGAACACAATGGAGTAGTCACCATCTGCACAACTGCATTACAAAGAAGTGTTAAACTTATAAACTTTGCAGTTAAATTAAGTTCATTATAAGTATGTAAGGTAATACAAGAAGATAAAATGCTCATTATAGCATAATTTGTTTAGAATATCTTCAAAAAATATAGGAGGCCCAAATAGTTTTATTATTAAGAGACCAAAACTGTTATAAGAGGTATTCATTTTTCTAATTATGTCTATAATAAATATATTCTCAGACAAAAACATAAAACAAAAATACATGCATATTCAGAGTGTTTCAAAAATTCAATATTTTAATTTTGTCAGTTGTATGCTAGTGACATTTTTTACAAAAATTAGTAGCTCCGGCCACAACTGAAGTAGACAGTACAAAAAATAAAATACCTCTATGAAAGTAATCCATTGTGCTACATTAACATTAAGAGTGGTACTCCATAACCTTATGTAAACTACTGAAGTGCATCAGCAATAAAAGTCATACTCTGAATCACAATCCGATTTTCTCCATCAGCTTCTGTTTCTGAGGTAGTCATATCCTGAGCAGGTGCAATCAGAAGAGATTCAACACCTTCTTTCTCAGCCCGAAGACGCTCTCTTTCCACCTTTCTCTGCTGTTCTAGCTACAGAAAAATGGACATTAGTCACCCTTATTAAACAACAAAAATTGAGGCAAATTGCTGCAGCAAAAATTGTGTACACTTCACCAAATATTATAAATAAGGTAAATAAATTTAAGGGCAAAAATAGGTGACATGTAGAATGTATGGGAGATGAGAAATGCACACAATAAAAAAACTGAAGGAAAGACTACAGGAGGCTTACAAAATAGATGGGAAGATAATATTAAAATGGTTCTCAAAGAATGAGAACATGACACTGAATTCATCTGGCACAGTATGTCATTCACATTCTGAATTTCTTTCCAATATTCCTGGATACACAGTACCTTCCATGGTTACGCAACTGGTGAAGTTCTGTTTAAAGCTTTCTCTGAGAACGTTTACTTATGAGTTCTGGTATCACTTCTTACTAATGACACTCTTAAAACTGCTTCTTCAATTTTCATGCTGTCTTCAATTGTGCATACACCTGTTGCTCTATTCATTCAGCATGTTTCTTCCTTCGTATCATGCTGCTGAATGGAGGTGAATGAATGCAGGTGCAGAGTCAGTATTGTCCACTATAAGTCACTTTCCTGGACACATTGTCTTGATGATGATTATGTTCCTTTTGTCCCTAGTATATCAAGGAAGAGAAGTGTGTGAGTTGTCTCTCTTCTTGTGGCAAACTTGACTGTTGGTTTTAATCCACTTAGGTAGTTCATGAATGTGTTCAGTTTAGATTCACAATATGGCCATATGGTAAATGTGTCATTTATATATCTGAGCCAGATTTTAGGCCCCAGGTCACTCTGTTCTAGTGCAGCATTTTATCTAAGTTTTCCAAGTACATGCTGTTTATTACTAAAGACACTGGGAAGCCTATGACAATTCCATCTGTTTGTTGGTAGAATTCATGATTGACTTGGAAGTATGTCTTGAAGCATACACCTAGAACTTCCATTATTGAATCCAATTAGTTGTACACTCATCCCTTTGCTAGATATAAACTTACATTACGATGCCTTCATACAACAAACATGAGATCTGTCCAACATGAAACTGGGTTTTATGAGTTCTAAATGGAAATCCTTATTTTCAACCTATTTCTCCAACATTCATTCACCATTAACCTCCCACCTGAACCAGACCCCCAAAGTAATCTCTTCCCATGAGATTTACCTACAAAAATTGTATATTCACTTTTGGTTTCCCTTACACATGCTACAGGTCCCCTTCTTGATTTAACACATCTGCTACAAAACAAGTCACCTGTCAAAACTCTGGCTCTTTGTTACTTACATGTTTAATTCACATATCTGGGCCAATATTCACAGAGCTGGTCAGTCCTCCAATGTATGTTGTTCTATTGCAGCCACACACATTCACAGATCATAAAGAAAACCTTGCTGAGTTGGAAAAAGTGTTGACATAGATCATGTAGTGGAAAAATAAGGTGATGTTTTCGAAGAACTAAAAAGATAATTCATGTGAATTACATACATGGTGAAAATTTAACTTCTGTCATTTATAACACGCTGTTTGCAGAAGGTTGAAAACCCTAGTGCATACAGCAGGGTGACTGGCCCAGAATGTAAATCTCTACTGAAGTACACAATAACAATGACATGAAGATGGATGTCATTAGAAATATTTTTAATTCTGTCTGCATGAATTTTTTGAATTTAATTTTATCCTAATTTCATAACAAATATCATTTTGGGGGACATTTTAAAAATTGTGTGCTACTTCCCCTCCCCTTCCTCTTTTTACACAACCCCCCCCCTGCTCAAACCGCCCTTCCCAACCACTTCAAAAAGAAATTTATAAAACAATGAAGTGAATCTACATTTTAATAAAAACTAATATACATCTAATCTACAAACTGTAGTTGTTTGTTCCGTCAGTTACACCATTTGTAATTGGTCATGGCCTCACATTAGTTGGGTGTCATTTGTAGCCATTCATGTCCACACTTTACAAAACCATTTGCACTGGTTACTCACGTTGTTAATGTGCCTCGGCTGTCACTCAGTTATACAAAGGAAAGGTGGGTTATGAGAGCTATGACTCTTATCAGCAGAATATGGGTTAATGAGTTAGAGACACTGGAATGCACAAGCAAGGGAGAAGGATATACGAATAGAGAAGTTCGACATCATAATCACTTAACAGGTCACTGGGATATCAGTATGGAAATTCACGGAAATTAAGATTTGCTGTTATCACACTGTTGCAAGCACATAAGATATAGTTGTCAACTCTGTACATAAAATGCAAGATGCTAACTGTGTTGAATGACAGATGCTAAGTATGTCTATGCTGAATGTTGGTAACAAACTGTGTATGCTGAAAGTACACCACTGATTATGTCTTCCGAATGTTTGCCACCAACTGCCACTTGGAAACAAAGACAGGTTACTACTTCCAAAAATGTAAAAGAAATTTCCTTTCTTGCTGAAACACAAAATTTGTAACATCACTGGTTTTCCTGCTCTGTTTCCAGATTGGTTGACAAACGAAATTCAAGTCAAAATTATATTCTGAAGATTGTATGGCTTCATCTCTCAAGATCAAAATTAGCAGTTAGTTCACTTAGTGACAATATGTCCCTTAGGCCAATTTTTACAAAAAGTCAGCTAATGCCAGTCTGAACTCCTTGGAGTGAAATACTGCAATGGCCTGTCAAAGTACTGAGTTTCAAAAAGTCTGGACTTCATCTACCAAAGAACATAACTCAATACACATATTCCTATGAAACATTCTTTTGCAAATTAAAATACATACAACCTAAGAACTGTAATGTAACATAAAGAAGTAACTTATGAAGGTCAGAACCTTCCAGCAAACTGTATCAACTGAAAACTGTAGCTGAATTCATGTGGAATTCTAATTATGGTATTTGTGTAAAGAATATGCTGAAAACTAAAAATATGCAAAGAAAATTACTTCCTCAAGAGTCTGTTCAGTTACCTCAAACCATGTCATTCACACATGAGTCATTGAAGTCTATCATTGCCATAAGAAAGAAGTACAAACTCCATATCCTTCACACAAACCAGGCACAAACATATTTTACCAAGTAGGCCTAAACCTAGATTTTTAAGGTTTTTACAAACATTCACTTTCTTCACATTGTATAACTTTAATCTACCAATGTCACCTAATAAAACAAATGTAACATTACCTACATTCTGCCTTCAGTTCCAACTTCCAACCTATAAATAACATTCTCACTCAAAACCATCAACAGTCAAATCACAAAAGTTACAGTTCTCTCAGGTTGTAACCACTGAACAAAGTGGCAGAAAACAATCAAGCAAATTCGCCAACACGCAGGAAATATAAACTAGACAAGATATGACTGCAGGATATATAATTTCTAAAGTTACATGATGTTCTAATTTGTTACTTGAACCCATTTTCAATGATTCATTAGTACTGCTTATGAAGTAATTTTGTTCAGTATTATGGTAGATACATAAATACATACTTAGTTAAGAACGGCAGACATTTATTTTGGCCATTTCAAGACAGCCTAGTATGGTCCTATTCTACCATTAGTTTAGAGGAGCTGAAAAAACCCAAAGAACATCATGACTATCACCTGAATCTAAAAACAAGGGCCTCCCACATATAAGTTAAACATAATGCATGTATTTTGTTTTTGTTTCTTTCAAAATTCCAAAACTCTCTTCTACTGGGGCCCATTAATTCTTAGTAACATATTTTTGAATTACAAACTTGTAATCTCTGAATCACATACCTGATATTTCCACATTTCTCTGATTTTCTTCTGACCCTCCACCAACAGGTCAAAAAATTGCACAGTGGCTTGCAACTGAATGTTGCAACCTGGGCAAATAGTGCGAGGAAGCTTACCATCATCTTGGATCTAAAACATATATATATATATATATATATAACACCAAATTACACAATCAGAGGAAAGTTTTGACATAATACACTAGTCAAATAAATAGTACTATATAAACAAAACTTTGTTATAACTCACTCAAAAGTACTAAAATATTCCAACTACCAACCACATGAAAACTCATCACTTTACTTTCACAACCATTTTCAGACCGTTTGTGAAGTGTCTCTGCTATATAGTCACATTCTCTCTCTAGCAAAGTTATTATCTGGAAAGGGCAAATATTAAAACAAGCAAATAATTCTAGAACAGCAACAGTACGCTTGGAACAGCACTACCAGTAAGAAAATCTCATTACAAATTGTCCATGTTTCATCTGAAATGTTAACTTTGAGAATGTAATAAAACCTCACCATCCAAACCTTCAACACTTTTCAATAACATAGTGACTGATGGTACTACCCCCAAATGCGTGAAGCCTAGAGATGTGTAAAAATATTGTGATGTGTTGGGGTTGGCATTGTTGAACTGTTTAATGACATTGTTGTATTCATGCATTGTTGTATTATTATTGACACTGTTGCGTTGCTACCCCAAAGTATGCTGGCCTTAAAACTTTATACCAGTATGTCACTCCTACTTTTAGAAGAATTTACTTCGGTCCAAAATTCATAAATACTGTAAACATTTACCTGAAATTGCTTAAACAACAATGAGTATATATTTGTATTGGTACTGAACAGGTTCTATTCTATTAATGCATCGGCAAGGATATAGAATAAAACAGTAGTGAACTATATACGGTATTAACCCAATATTTGTCTGGAGAGGCTTCAATATTTGGTTCACTATTCCGGGTCAAATATGAACGCTGAGACTCTTAACCTGGTTTTTAATTCGCCTTTTTTTGGCACCCATGATCACTGCTGACAACATCAAAAAAACTTGAACGCATACTCAGAACCAATACTTCTCTTGCTCATTTAGCCCGTAGTTATGGACAAAACTAATGGTCAGACGAACTGTAATAAGAATTATAATGTTCATTCTGTTGTGTCGAACATCCAGTTTTAGGTTAAACCTTCCATACAAAAATATTAATACTCTACATACCTATGTTGGAAACAGTTTATTAATCGTACCAAGAAAACCCCTTTACATTACAAATCTATTAGCAACACCAAGCATACTTTGAAAACCACGGGAAGCTCACTGCTCTCAACACCTCACATGATATACCCCTCTTAAAACTATTTAACTGCTCAGAATTGAGACACATAACTGAGTCATGTAGTGAAGGAATACGCAGTTCGTGCTACTATGATCAGTATACCCTCCATTTTGATTGTAAGTAGGAAGTCAAGTTGCCTTCTCGTACAAATATTAAAACTGTATATTTACCTTAAATGGGAGGTAACGATTCACTAGGGCACTTAAATCATCCCCCGAATCGTCAACCGAATATAATAAAACTCCACTAGGATTTTCTTCTGCACATAATCGGCAATAAGTTGAATCATAAAGATGTACTTCCATAATGGCGGCAAAAGTAGACGAGATTACTGCACGACGGTGTCTCCCAATCCCCAATAGAAATGTATATCCCATTTCAGTATGGCCGCCAGGACGAGTTTTGTAAGAATAGTCCCTATTGGCTCGTGAGCGAAATTTGAATACAGCATTGAGAGAGTTTATTTTCTCATGGCGGCGAGTATAAAGACGACTGTGTTCTGGGATGTTGCGTCGTGGTCTGATAGAAATTTACCGACATTTCAAACGTTTACCGACGCCTCAACGTCCTGAGGATAGAGGCAGTAGATATCTTTGAAACGTCGGTAAACTTCTTCCAGACTACACGACAAAACATCCCAGAAGACAGTCAGCTGAATACATTATTCACGGTATCTTCTACGTTAATTATTTATAAGGAAATAGACTTGCGTTATAATCATGTTAGTGCGTCTGTCCCTTTCATACCTTTCTAAAAAAATCGGAGGATGAAACTTGGTAAAGTACTGAATGCTGTCTTACGGGTCAAAGTACTGTTTAATTCACCTCCACCAATAAAATAAGTAAAATGTCCGTACGACCGTCTAATAGAAAATACAAAGATGTCTGGATCTCACAATGATGAGTTTGCAGAAGGATTTGCGGACTCCTGCTGTTTTGCTAATGGCCGGTATAAATCTAATACATTGCTGAAACTCAAGATATTGTTCCTTTCTCAGGCTTTTAAGTTACAAATAGAGAGTTCCTGCATTGAAGGCTGTTGCAGCCACCGTAGTATTTACGTTGGTATTCATTATTGCATTTATATAATGTGTGCCACATCATTCTCTTCTATTCTTTGCTACAGCAGTAACATCACATAATACATTCGCTCTTACTACGCGATCTACCTACTCCAGTAACACGTGTCCCACAGATCATAATAGTATTATAGCACAGATAACACCAACTTTAGTAGCATGTTTAAAAACATGCTGGTTTTCTATTCTTAATATGATGTTAGAATCGATTTCAATATGACTCGATCGACCCATCGGTGTCCGCGAAAGTTCGACAATAGTGCTGTCAAGGTTTATACATATAACTCATGTACAGTTCCTTGCAAGAAGTTTGGCTTTGGTACGAATCAGTATTTTTCCACGTTTGAGCCTGAGAGAAAATACGTTGAATAATAATAATAAAATAAGGCACAACATTAGTATGGAACGAAACTACGTTTTTATAACTGTGTAGTCCAATAAAATGAGTGGGAAATCTGATAAGTTGCAGTCGCATAAAAAGAAAACTGAGAAAAGAAGCGGCGAAAGTAGAAAGTACGCACAAATATCGTGTGATTCGATATCAGCTACAGCAGAAGCTAATGGCATATCAGCACTTAGTGAAGATATTAGGAAACAACTTGCTGAAGACGTATCATATAGGCTTCGAGAGGTTGTTCATGTAAGTTACATACCGTGACTAACCTTATCTAGCCTAACATAACCTGTTATTTCACAATGACCCTGTATTGTGAATCCATTGGAAGACATAACGAGGAATTCTGAAATTGATAAATTACACTAGTTATGAATTAACATCTCACTAGATTAAGAGCTTATTGAGATTTTCACGAATGTTTCTACATGATTAATTGAAACATCTTCCTGTGGTTCATTAAAGTATGAACTACTTACTGTTTAGTGATTGTAGCCTTCTGAGTTGTCACTGTGCAGTCTTGTGATTGTTGACGTTTTTAAAAAATGTTTTGCCTCCATCTCCAGGGTGGTTTCTTACCCTGAAGAATGAGAAATATTTCTACAAAAGTTGGTAACTGGCAGCAAGACTGGACAGCAACACAACTAAGAAGACCACATTCCACATGTACATTGCTGTGAAAACTTCAGGTACTGAGGTGCATGAAAGTGAATTCCATTTGTTGTGAAAAATTACATAAAGCATTTTAACTTCAGAACAGCCTCCTCTTCACTCTGTTGATATTTTATGCATATTCAAGTTTGTAAAGTTCAAAAAACTCTTGTTTTGTGGTATGTAAGGGGTTCAATGCATGATATGAAGTCTTGTAATGCCAGTCTCACATGAATATGCACCACATTATTACAAGCTAGACTCTGGAAACCAAATATGACCATGATATTTAGTATAGATAAACAGCCACTACCTTAAAATGATGATAGGAGTGGAGCAAGACTTACTCCCTTAGCACTAGCCTCAAGTAGACCTATTTTAGCAACTTGTGATAAGGGTGATGAAATGATATATGAGCCATGATAGAATAATTACTGGCAAGGAATAGATAAAGTACTGATGAAAAACATGCCACTTTGTCTACCACAAATCACACATGGAACTAAACCTGGGACCCTGCGGTGAGAAGCTTGTGACCAAGTACCTGAGCTATGGTATGGCCTAATTAAAGGAACCAATTCATTACAGTACAAGTATTACATCTGTTGTGGAGAAAATCTCACCACTAAAATGTATGTTATGTTGCTGAACTTGAAGTAATTAAGTATTGGTTTAGTTTTTGCATAAATGAATTACCAGTGGCCTTGACTTCAAACCCACTAACTAGTTCATTGGCCTACCAGTTTTCAGCAGTGGTATATTTTCCCAGCGATAAACTGCTATATCTTGCAGTTCTTGATTCATTATGTACCTCTTTGGAAACAGCCAGAAGACAGATGGGACAAAGTCAAGTGAGAAGGGAAAATCTCCTTTTTTCTGAGATAGTTGTACAATAGTAAAAATTGTAGCAAATAGCCAGTTTCCAAAAATTTACTTTGGTATGCTTGTATCCATGATGTTGATTTATAAAATTTGTTGATTTCATAGCAGCAGTTGAGTGTCATATGCATGGAAAAAGCAAATTAGAATTGGTGTAGTATTTTTTATTTTGTGCACATTAGTTTACACTTCACTATACTACAGTGACATGTATTTAAAATATGGCAGATATTAGGAAACTACTTAAAACACACAGACATAAATTGGAATTGTTTGTGTGACATTCTTGTATACATTAAGCACTAGAGAGATTTAACTTCATACATATTTGATACCTTATCTTGTTGTATATATAGAGATGTAAAAACAGTTTTCACAGTTTCTGGATTTTGGATAATTATTAAACAAATGGCAAGCTTATTAACTTTATTGCAATAATCTTGTTAACCTTTTCAGAACTGTAGTGTATATTTAAGACAAAGTAAACGAAGAAAACTGTCAACTGCTGATGTAAATGCAGTTTTCCAGACTTCAGATGTACCACCAGTTTATGGACATTTGAATGAAGAACCATTTAATTTACTGTACATTAAAGAAGCTGGCGTGTTTGTGCCAGAGGAGCAAGATGTTGATCTGGCAGTTCTTGCTTTGAGTAATTTTACTGTCACTCAGAAGAGAGAGCCATTTGTGAAAGGTAAGACATAAAGTACTTACAGTACAACTGGAAGCTATAATAACTTATGTCCACATGTATTGTAATACATTTGAGTGACCGTGGTATTGGTGTATTCCTTTAAAACTGGATTAGAACATTACCACTGTGAGGAAGAGACCATGGATGCCAGGTTATGCTATGTTAAGCTATTATTCTGGTTTATACTTTCTCAGATTGATAGGAAAATTAAAACATTATGTACAAAATCAGATGAGACATGACCTGATTGAAGTTCATTTCTGTTTATGTTCAAAATATATTAGATTAATAAAGTTTTCTTGGTCTATTAGCCATGTCAGCTGGTCAAAAATCACCAATGTTTTAGGAATTGTCTATTGCTGTAAGTAGAACAGGACCTCTTGACATTATGTAATATCCTAGTTTATTATGATTACTTATCAATTTGTTTTAAAATGTCATTAGAGTATCCAAGAAAATCAACAAGAATTGGGATTAAATGGAACACACCAGCTTCACGTCTATACTAATAATGATAATTTATTGGGGAAGAACATAAATACTATAAAGAAAAACATAACTGTATCAGATACTATAAAGGAGTATATTCTACAATAATACCACAGAACACTAGTACATGTTCATCTGAGATTTGAGGTTTAACTGCATAGCATCATACAACCCAGAATACTGCAATTGACAGTATTATGCTAATGTCTAATTACCAGAATGCAAGATGAAATCATAATATGAGATATGACATAGTCCTGATGTTTAGGAACATCATCCAGGTGATTTTTATCAATTTATAAGGGGATTAGATGCTACTTTAAAGTATCTGCATAATCCAAAAACTGAATTCTTAATTTTTGGTGACATAAACATAGACTATCTCAATAAAAACAGTTGGAAAAAATTCAGTGCTAACAACACATAATTTGACACAGTGTACATTTTGCAACAAGAATTCAAAATGACTTTAGTACAACAATTGTTAATATTTTTGTTAAAATTTAGCTCATCTTCTACTTTTCCCATATTAAATACCCAGCATCTTATGATTAATAATCTTGCTGAAGCAGGTAACTTAAACATATAACTTTAAAGAACTTTGTTGGAGTCAGTGTAATTTCACCAAGTCCACTAGCTGTACACTTATGAAGATAGACTGTATGTGGATCTAAAGTTGTATCTGTTGCTGGATTTAAAATGAGAAGTATTATGACTAATTGTGAGATGAGTGCTGATACTAAATTTCTGAGCCATGAGTCGAAGCCAAGGAAAATCCTGGCATGCCCACCTTGTAGTCTCAGATAATAAATTTCCATTGGATGACACGATTTCAATAATTGTTCGTAAGTTCTGCCATTGGTTAGTAGTTTGGTTAAAGCCTCGAGCCTTGCAAGGGGGCATGTACCCCAATGAAAGTCCTAGGTACGAATTAACTCCACAAACTGTGACATTACAGATCTGTATAGTTTTCAGTCTTCTTACTTTACCACCCTAATATGTAACACTTGGTCACAGATAGGGCGCACACTCTGGTAACAGCCCGTTATGCAGAGACTGCTTGTTACTTCCATTGTCTGTTTTCCCTGAGATTTGAGCCATGGGTCTGATACATCCCCTCAAATAAAATAACTCATCAGGTTATGATTACATAAGTAAAATTTTTAAAGCTTGTTCAGCTTTAGTCACCCATTAGCCAACATTTGTTATCACTCACTTTACACAGGAATTTTGCTGGACCATCTTAAAATGTCCGTAGTGAGACCACTGCTCAAGAAAGGTGACAAATGTAGTATAACAAATTACAGCCCAATTTCTCTATTAACTACTATGCCCAAACACCTCATTAATCTTCTATCACTGGCTATCAGTCAGCAGAATCATGAGATCTTCTCATGAGATACTGGGATGCATTTAACATGACACATTCTTGGAAAAGTTACTTATAAAAACTTTATTAAAATCTTTAGTAATACACAGCGGCACTGAAATGCAACTGCTCTTGACCAGGAATTAACTGTTAATGACACCAGCGGTTTATGACGTGGGGTGGAGCAAACCAAAACGCCTCCAATGGAAATCTCCACCAGGCCGAGCAGCCTTGTGAAATTCATTTTTTAAACTGACTTCCTTCAAAATGTCTGGCTACACTACTTTTTTTTAAAGTACTTGGAAGGTTATGTACAATAGGTTGTCGTCATTATGCATACTAACAACATATTGGTTAAAGAACAACTTGGCTTCAGGAAAGGTGTATCCACTGAAGATTCAGTTTTCAAAGTCACAGACAATGTGCTAAAATATATTAACCATAAAATATGTTGGAGGAATTTTCTGTGATTTAACATATGCTTTTGACTGTGTAAAACATTAAATTTTGTTAACTAAATTATATTTTTGTGGCATTCAAGGATTAGCTGCAGAATGATTCAGATCATATCTAACAGACAGAAAACAAATAGTCAAAGTAAAGTCACCTAAAACAATCACAATTTTTTCTCAAACTGGGAACAATGAAACACGAAGTTCCTCAAGTGTTAATTCTAAGGTCCTTGCTTTTCATAGTATACATAAATGACCTTCCTCCAACAATAAATGCCTTGAACAGAACCCATAATATTTGCTGATGGCACAAGTGTCATAATTTTGATGATTTCTGTGCACGATCATAGTTCTCTGTCATATGAGCAAATGGTTTATTGCTATGATAGTTTTGTAACTGCTGTAACTTCAGCTTCTGGACTTTGGAAGGAAAATGTGAACTTCTTACATCTCTTTTTTTTTTCATTTCCCCCAAAATGTAAAGAAGTGCCTTATGGTATTATTTGATAGGAAGTTTCAGTTGGTTAATTGTTAGTTTACATTTTTGTTGGTAGGTACATGGCTTCCTCCAGATGGTATTACAGATGTCAGTGGGAACCTTCAGTCAGCAAAGGCAGAAGATACAAAACCATCAACATCAAACTCTGAAAAGACTAACAGCAATTCTCAGTTACCTTCCCACTTACTCTCTTACTACAGTCATATTTCAAAAATTATTTTGGGCAACTCAGAAAGCCTTATGAAGGTATGTCTAAGTATATTTTGTTAGTTCTACTTCACACTTCTTGCACCCTACTCCGATGTATTCATAATTATCATCTACTGCGATCTCTGTAGCCCTTATAGTTACATGAAAATTAAACTATTTACACAGGCACCAGATTTTTTCTGCCAAAAATCTACCATAAGGATGTAAGCTACTATGTAAATGATATAAGAAAGCCTCCTGTTGAGATCATGCCATCCATTCATCTGTATAATCTTGTGTAAACTGTATTCTCAACAAATTAATTTCAGTTAAATTTTACATAGAAGTCTTGCAGTTGGAGTGAGAAAGTAGGTATACCTAACCGGGAGTATTCTTACATTTTGTTGCTGTAGCAAATGTCTCTCTGAAAACTTGTCCCTAATGTTCACAGCTGGAATTTTATGTACAACTTTGTCTCTTGGGGATAGGCTGTGTCAAATGTTGTTGGTTTTCCAGTGTTCTGTCAAACATTGCAGTTGCCTTTGTCAGGGTGAATGTTTATTCGTGGTACGAAGTGAGATGTGAAGGATATGCTTGGTGGAACAAAGAAGTGGGTTCTATTCAGTTGGGAGTGAGCACATGATTGAAGAAAAGACACGATGACAAAACTTTCTCCATCACTTTTTCACCTAAGCAGGTGGTCCCTAAAATTTTTCATCACCTCATTTTCCAGTCATTTGGTGGCTAGAATTCTTTCATCATCTCTTTTCCTTACCACATGGTCCCTAGAAATTTAAGATGGAAAATGCAGTGTTGCCAGAATTTAATGTGGCTCATCTCAGAAAGCTGAAGTTATGCATTATTTTTGATCCATTCAAAATTGAGGTTTCTATCACCAGACAGGGAACTGGGAACCTCAAATTCTGAGTTACATGCACTAAAGTAAAATGTAATAGGAGGCAGAAGAACCAATGCCACAATTATGGTCTGACTTCATGAAAAATTAGCTTGAATGCAACAGTGTGACTCTTGTGAACTCAACATAGACTCATATTCTGCAGGTGAGAAATGTGCCACTTTTCACACTTCATTTCTCTGTACTCAGTACTGTAAAAACTTATTTTAACAGCCACTTTGATATAATAATATAAATATTGAAAGTTAAAACAAAGTTCCTGCTTGTAATTTCTATATAATGTACAACTGTTATTTGCAATCTGTGAATAGACTAGTATATATAGCTATATAAGGATATGTGTTTATGCTCATACTGCTGATATTTGCATTGAATCTCAGGTGGTGCTGAAAGACTTGCAGAGGAACAGCAAAATTGGTCCCATTGTCCCTTACTTGCTCAACCTCCTAGCACTTGGTCTGCAGAAGCTGCCTAGGGGAGGAACTTATGCAAACTTCAGACACAAGTTTCTTCACACTGCTGAAGCTCTGACACGTAACAGCTTCATTGAACCTAATGCTACCATTTCAGTAAGTTTTATGTTGTATATTTGTAGCTGTTATTCAGTGTTTCTTAAAGCTTGAGAAAACAACAGCATAATACTCTATAAATGACTGAAAGTTTATGCTGTACTATTTGTAGCTGTTATTCAGTGTTTCTTGAAGCTTGAGAAGACAACAGCATAATACTCTATGAATGACTGAAAGTTTATGCTGTAAGACATCAGAATATTTGTTAAAGAAAATCATTGAGTAACGTGACCTGTTTGATTTGAATTTATAATAAATCGGCATGAAGTTTCAACAGATTGTCCTCCTTTATAAATTTCCAACTCAGCGGCCTGCAATTTGATAAGAAAGGGCAACTGTGACCCCAGGTCTTGAAGGGTTGGAAACTTGTGATACAAGTCAAAAAGTGAAGCTTAGAGGTTTGCTATCATAAATGATGATACAGAATGTACTGATTCAGTAGTTTCTGAAACGTATAATAGGTCTAAATGTTCCATGTTCCTGTCTTGATGAAAATCATATACTTCCCTCCCTTCTGCCCTGCCACACACAGCACTCATGCTTATATTTTAAAGTCAAAATAATATTTAATGTAGACGCAGCCCACCAACTCTGAGTTTCTTGTTTCAAAGGTTCACAGATTAATTTCCAGTCTACTGTCCTGTGTACTGGATGCAACACTAATAGAAGGGACATCTGCAAAGTGTGATTATGAGCTGAGAAATATTACAGCACAGGTGTTGGCAAAGGTAAATATGAGCATCTTAGTGCTTATATCATTACTGAAATAATCTTTTTCAGTTTAATTGTTTGGTGTTGTTTTTCCTTACAAGTCATTTTTATTGAATAAGAATTGCCTATCCCCCTCAAGTCTAAAGAAAGTAATGTAATATGGAGAAGTGTTCAGGTTCTTTTTCTTCCTATCTGATTTATCAGGAATCACTTTATGATCAGTAATTGATATAAAAGCATATTTAAGAACAGATTAGTTATATATAATCCTAATAGCTGATCATTCTTTTTAAATTCTACAAGGTTGTTAATCACTGGTGTCACACAGACATCAAACTCCGCCTGGATATATTACAGAAATTAGGATCTGTACTGCTGGATGGTAGCAACGCCTTGCGTAACCACTATGCAGTTCTTAAGACTCTGTGTGCTCTTGGTTATGAAGCGCTTGACTACTGCTTGTGGCCACACCTTGAACAGTA